GAAATACACGTTGTAGTCTTAAGCTTGCAAGGAAGGTATATCCTTCTTTTATTACAGAATACAGACTATCATACTTTGTGGATGGTACGTGAGTATTATCAGAGTGGAATACAGTCTAACCCGCGCAAATGCATAACTTGGGTGGAAGGCTTTCACTATGCATTTTGACGAGTTATGCAATTCCATTGTCAAATTTGGCAGTAAAAAGTATCAAAATTTAAGATTTTTTCTATGCATTATCACGGGTTATGCATTATCACGGGTTATGCATTTGCGCGGGTATGCATTTGCGCAGGTCAGACTGTATGTGGAAAGCGAGGAAATTAGCAAAGGTTGTTGTCGAGCACTCACAAAAGAGGTGCACAAAAATTGGCACTGCAACTTCTCCCCCAACGGAGGACTTGCGCCAAACCAGTCCAGATTTTTCATTTCCTCTAGCAAGCAAATTGTAACTTTCAGTTTCATATCCTCCAAGTTGCTTGTTTTTACTATTTCCTACTTTCAATATACAAAAAGTACATTATACACATAATTTTCTTTTCACCTACAGCCTTATCAATATTTTGTCGTAATCCGGTGTACTTCCCAACACTAGCTATTCACTAACTTAACTAAGTCCCACAGTCAGACACTTCTTCCTCACGAGCTTGAGTGTCTGGTGAGGGACTTAGGACTAATTGGGCTTCCCTGGTGGTTGAGCAGGACTGCTTAAATTTGAGTTTGGCCTGGAGACTTTTTCACCACCTCAAAAAGTCCCACTTCCACTCAATCAACCCCCGTGTGAAATTTAACTGGAGATACTTCAAGAAATTCCCAACACATCTGTCTATTCAGAATTCCTTTAACTTTTTCTGAGCATCCACCAAAAAGAACAGAGGTTTTTGGAATTTCAAATTTTGTTGGTGGTAGTGACTGTATTTTCAAAACGAAATTTATAATCAAACATGATCCTCTTTCAATGCAAGAGGACTGCCATTTGATCCAGCAGCTGTGGTCAAAGATGAAAGGTGTACATTGCATTCTCCAGAAGATATTGGTCTCCTCAGAAAATCTGTAGCATCCAAACTACAAAAGATAGGCAGCTGTAGAGCTGAACAGGGGTTGCGGGTTCCTGCTCGACCACCAAAAGTATGCAATTAGTCACAAGTCCCTACCCAGGGCACCGAGCTTGCGAGGTTAAGAGAGCCCTGCGGTAGATTTGGACTTGTGTTAAGTTAGAGCCAGGGATGCAGGAGTGAGTATGAGTTTACTCAGTAAAGTGAGTATTATTGAGTATACTACGGAAGCCGTGACGTGAAGTGACAGCCACCGTTTTTTCAAAACTTTGGTTTTTGGTTTTTGGTTTTTGGAATTTCAGCATTTCCTTCAATTTTCGATGCACACCACGGGCTACCATCACCAAGAACACCAACTGACACTGTCACCACCACCAAGGGTTCATTCCACACTTGTATTTTCACTCAGCACCCACCACCGAGCATTTTTTTCCACATCTGTCTTTTCACCACCAGCTAGCTACCAACATCACCACCCACCATCGAGCTATTTTTTCACATTTGTCTTTTGACCAATATAGCTATCACCACAACCACCCAGCTTGAGTATCTTTTATCAAAGTCCAGACGTGTTTTCATTATCACTCACTCAATCAACTTGGTATCATTTACAGTCAATAAACTTGTAATCAACTTGGTATCATTTACAGTCAATAAATTTGTAATCAACTTGGTATCATTTACAGTCACAAATCACCTTACCCCTTAATCAATCAACAACCTTTCTGATCAAAGAAACTGTTGGTTTTCCAAATAGGTTGAATTTTGAGGAGGTGATTGTCAAGATCAACCTCAATTGTTTGAGAACTCAGAATAATCAAAAATACTTGGCATACATTTTTTAAAACAGCCTCATGATTGGAATGTCGTAAGTTGTGTAAAACAATCAATAAGTAAGTGATACAAACTCTGTGAAATGATCAGGTTCCAGATTGTAATCACCATGATTTGTGATTATACTCTTTGCAATTCAAAGATACTTATGTAAATTTTTTGTTCAGATGGGGGCCAGCCAATTCAGCATTTTGATGTGTAGTTAGTGTAAGAATTAATGGATCGATATGAAGTTAAAGAAGAAACTTCAAAGGTGAACACAATGAGTGTTGAGATAAGAGCTTTCAGAGTTAGTTGTGATGTGCAGTAGGATCGAGTGGATCAATTTTTTGTTGAGATAAGAGCAAGCCAATGGATCTTTTTGATGCAATGGGTAGTTTAAACAATAGTGGTTCGATATGAAGTTGACAAAGAAATTTAAAAGGTTAACACAACAGGTGTTGAGATAAGATCTTGCCGATTTGACTGTGATGTGTAGTAGGATCTATTAGTTTAATTTGAACTACAATACTTTGGTATTGATTGATACGATTGAAGTTGATAGGATTTGAGATGTGGTTTGATTCAATATTGAGTCAAAGTCTGGATATTTGAAGGCACAAGAGTTGGATCGGTCGAGCAATTTGACCAACTCACTGTAAATTGAGAGGGAGGCATGGTTGCTTTTCAAAATTCTTCTTCTCCCTTGGTGGTGGTGATGGTGTCAGTTGGTGTTCTCGGTGATGGTAGCCCGTGGTGTGTATCAAAAATTGAAGGAAATGCCAAAATTCCAAAAACCAAGAACCAAAAACTATGGTGTACGTATAGACTCATACCGACATATAAACATGACATGGGTAAAACATGTAATTTTTCCATGTCATGTTTGGTCGAAATTCATCCCCAAGCCAAATACCGTACGACACAACTCATACTGACACACATTGACATGGATTTTTGATTTACAAATCCCGTGTTGTAACATGAGTCATCTTGTACATTGTACCGTCGGGGAAGTGTCATACCAACACAACATGACACCAAATGTGAATTTCTCCAAAATATTGCATTCGGATCGGACTATCCAATTTTTGATGTATTTTTCTCTGCAATCAAGAGTTTTTAAAAAAATAAACACTCAATCTTAGCTCTACAGTCAACTATCTTTATTCAATAATCCATCTACATTATTATTACTCTGTCTTGCTCTTCCACAAATAATGCCAAAACAAAACAACATAGCTATCATCAACACAGTACTGGAAAATGGTTTCAACGACGGACTCACCATACGAGAAATACAAGATAACCTTGTGAAATAAGGAATCACAATGACTGAGAGAACAATCTATCAATATTGTAAACATTTGGATCACAACAACACCAAGCCGCCTGTTTGCGAGGATCAGCTTGAAAGACGTAATGCCATCAGCAAACACTTCCATGATGGCAAATCAATCAAAGAGATGCTCATATGTGTACTCTAACATATGGGTTGCATTTTGTTTTATGTGTAATGCTTTGTTGGATCACAACTGGGATGGCACTCTCTTTGAAGGAAAAGATCTCAATGTTTTTGGTACTTTACCGTGAATATCTTACACATGTTTATTTGAAGACTCATATTTTGTATGCATCTCAACCACAAGTATACCTTGAAGTATATGAAAAAAACAATACTGATTTATAATTTGAAAAAAGGAGCCAAATTCTTATAAAGATTGGAAAATACATGAATTAAGTCAAATGACAAAGATTTTGATCTTGCTTTGAATGCTTCCATCCCATCCTTCTGCTTCTTACTTTTTATCATATCACATTTTCTTTTGAACACATTTCTGTGATGGAGATCTATACTTCTTCTTACCACTAATACCAAACCAATTAAAAGAATATCATTTAAAGATTCCTTATGGTCAGACAGCAACCCACTTTCAGTGTCCATCCCACACTAGGATAATGATGACTAGGCTTGCATAAGGTCTGTGTCAAACCCTACCCACAAGAATCTGGTGCGTGAAGCCAACCCAGCCTTGGGGAGGACAAGTACAGTTGAACCTCAGCAGTGACCATAGATCATCATGATCCAAAACCAATTTGATAGAGGAATAGCATTGGTGACATCAAGTAGTTCTGCATTCACATAGTGAAGAATGAACATGCAAGATACAATTCTATCCCCTATCAAATTGGCCTGTGAGACTTCTGTGAAGACTGCTATCTGACCATCATGGGAAAAAAAGTAAGTTTCATCTCACATCATTACCATGTTTTAAATAGACAAATCTAAAAATCAGCAAGTTGAAATGGTTTGTTTTGAGTTGAATTAGATGAGATTGCTTGTTTTGATTACAAATGAAAGATTCAATGATGAACCGTTGATATGATTGATTTCAGGTGAATCAGATGAAGAAGATCAATCTTGATTGAATCAGATGGAGATGATCAATCTTGATTGAATCAGATGGAGATGATCAATCTTGATTGATTTGGTTTGAAACAATCGATTGTGATTGATTTGGATTGAAACAATTGATTTTGATTGAATTGGAGGGGGAAAATGATTGATTATGATTCAATCAAATGGAAAGGATCGATTGAAGATAGGATCAATTTTGTGCCTAATCACTAAAAAACATTAAACCAATGTCAAAGTAATCTACAACCTAAAGGCACGAAGCTTGACAACCTCAATTTCCTGACAACCCCAATTTTTGATTAATACCCGCAAACCTGACAACCTCAATTTCCTATCAATACCCGAATAATTCCCTATCCGTACTGAGCGAGACATTCCATCAGCAGTCCCATACACATTCATTGTTGCGTATGACCCTGCCAACGAATACCGGAAGTCACCCTGCTCAGACATACGATCCGTCACAATTCAGCAAACCCTCATTTTTCCCATCGCACAAATCCAGGTAATTCAGCAATCACAACCAACCGAGTCCAACCGCCCTGATCCAACATGGGTTACTCTGACCAAGGCTTCATGACATGCCTTCGCTCACTCGCTTCAGCACTTTCATCGGCGCAGCAACCAAGCTACGCCATGCCAAAAAAACCAGTGCTGCCTTCTGATACAGCTCCATCACCATTTCTACCCGTTTGCCGAACACTAGCCTCACCATGACACTACGAGTCCAGATAATCTCTCGGCGCGGCGCGCTCAAGCAAGCCAACCAGCCAGTAAGCATTACTCGCCGCAAGCCAGTTGACCTCGCCATTCGCCGGCCGATATAAGGAACGACTGACTATGACCCAAACGTTCTTTATTCCTCAAGAGCAACAAACTGTCGGATAACGCTGTACACAGTCATTCTACCATAGTCCCATCCAAAGGTCAATTGCACCGTGATAACATTCACCGCCAGAAGCCAACTGCGCCATTTACATTCTCAATCCCGACTCTCTAAGACACTTCCATCACGTTGCACAATCTGAGCTGTGCTCGATTTGCTCTTCAGTCTCAACACCACCCATCCCGACTCTCTAAGCTACTTCTTTCCCATTGCACTATCGAGCTGTGCTCGACTTGCTCTTCAGTCTCATCACCATCCTTAGCCTCCCATTACCCATCTCGAATCGTGACGATCAATCCACATGGCGACCACTAACCAAATGAACGGACCGGTCTAGAAATCACATCCGTTTACTATATTGACAGTCGTTGAAATAGCAGAGACGGTAGGTAATTCACATCTCCTCAAGCACATCATTGAACTGACTAAAGTCTACAAAGCTCCAACCATGGGATAATCGAGCTTACACCTATCGCAATGCAACCGGTTCAATCACATGCAACGGTTGGGACAACGCCAATGAACCTGAATATGACGGCACTTTCACATCATATTGTGGATCAAAAGAAGAGCCGGAAGACGAAAATTGCTACGTCGTTAAGGGCAGAATGATCCCGTCGAATGATACGGCCGAATATCAAGTCTATTACGACGCCGAACACATGATTCACGTAGGAACCAGCGAGGCCTTCACCGGTACTTTACACAACAACACCGGTGTCTCCGGTTTTGGTATCGTCGGAGCCAAGACAGAGGTTCCAGAGGCCACTTCCGACTCCGCGGTCTTGGTGTTTGTCATGAAGCACGTGGATTACCGTCCAGAGGTACGTTTCCTATGGGTCTTTTTGGAACTCAAGCTGACATCTTTCTCAGACAAAGGAAACACCAGAATTCGAAGTAGAGTACCGGATGCGACCAACACCCAACCCTAAAGGCACGCAGCGATTGATACAAGAGGGGAAAGAAACCTTAGTCCACGGGTACATCGTCGACTGGAACGGCTCCTCAAATCGTTGGGTTGTTGATGTACGTGCAGTCCGTCCATCGGTTTTGACAACGCTGATTGTCGCTGGCTCCAGGTCACCGGCGTCAATGTCGGCAGCGGTCATCAGACTGCCCCAAAGAAGAAGATCAGTACCGGATCACAGGTCACCGCCAGTGGCAGAGTACGACCCGCAAAGTAATGCATCATTCACTATCTGTCACTGGTGCCATGGCTAACCCATTCATTACAGGCATACGGCGTCGTCAAGCCCGGCCCCCGCGCCGAAGCGCAAGGCTCCCACCAAGGGCAAAGGGAAAGCTGCAGCCCGCGATCCCCCCGACGAAGTCCTGGACGAGGACGTGTTGGATGATTTCACGTACGAGCACCATCATAAGTATCAGACAAGCTTCAAATATATGCTGATTTGTATATTTGATGTTCAGTCCTCCAACACCAACTAATCCCAAGAAGAGGGCCCGGGCCCCAGCTAAAACCAAGCTTCAGCCACCTATTCCAGTTGAACCGGAGGATCCGGTTGGGGAAGATCCGTACGACGAAGACCTTTTTGAAGAGGAAGCCTCACCCGAGCAGAGCACCAGCAAAATGCAGATGACCAGGGCCGGTCGCCAACCAAAACGCAGCAGAGGCGCGTAGCTTCCGGGCTAGCGAGCTCTGTGGTTCACGACCAACTGGTCTGTGTTGTTATGGGAATCCTTGATGAACCAAGTTTGACCAATCCCCGGTGTACGAACCTTCACTATGTGTTACGTCTATTATCCCCCTCTGCGTTGTAAAAATATGATCCAGTCACATTTCATGTGTTTTTTGCAATCTTGCCAATGTCGCATTGGACCAGCATCTTTGACTATGTATGAGAGCCCACTTGGTCAGCCCATTCTGGGCAGGGGATCATTGCATTCATTTTCTGAGCTACACGCTCTTCTGGATAAAACATGACTCCGATTTTGCTTCTGGGGATCCGCCCCCATTGAGCTTTCCACCATCCCACAATAAAATCGACATACACCGACATCGCCAATCGCATCAACCCATCATAATCAAAGCCTTCCCCCCAACGCGCTGATAGCATTCTTAAATCACAAACAAGGACCCATCGAGTAATCGTACAAACCGAAGGTTTCAAAGTCGTTTAGGTGGGAAGTGGTGTTCAGTTTATTATATATGTAAATACTTACTCTTTCTAATTTCGATCCAGAACTCCATGGACGGCATGAATGAAGTCGCAGGTTACGGACCGGCAGCGCGTTCCTCAGCTGAGCTGTCCGAAGCCAGTCACTTTGCACGTTTCCCGGGCGAATTGCCGTCGGACGTTGGTCCATGTGACAATATCTGCAGGGATTGCGAAGCTTTACATTGGAGAGCGGAACGAACACAGAGAGATATGAAAGCGACTCACGCGACTTTCTCCATGTGTTGTCAAAAAAAGGCCGTGGCCCTACTGAGCGATGGCCTTGACAATGATCTCACCCCATCGTTCCTGAGGAAGCTGTTGACTGGCAGGGATCAAAGTAAGTGGACAACTATCAGGTCAGGAAAGCAAATGCTGATTTTTTGTGCAGCCTCAAAAAAATTCAGGCATAAGATCCGGGCTTATAACAACGCAATTTTGTTTGCTTCAACCGGCGTGAAAATGGACAAAACAGTCCTTGGCAACGGGGGCAGTTGGACTTACCGCATATATGGACAATTGGTTCATCGGATTGGCTCTCTGCTACCTCTCAATGGGGTAAGGAAGAAATCTGGCCAAATCTTCATCAACGGCGACCAATCGGATCATGAAGCAACCGCACGTTCAACCGCCGCCGGCGGAGGGTTGAATATTCAAATCTTAAAGCAGCTACAATCGTTTCTTTACGCCTACAACCCGTACGCGAAAGTCTATAAGTCGGCTGAACAGATCGCTTGAGGCACCGTTACACGTACGATCAAAATCAAGACTCTTGCTATTGCGAACTGCGACAAGAATCGCTACAATTATCCAACTTGGAATCAGGTAGCCGCAATCATTGAAGGAGACGGCAAGGTTGGGTCCACCAACCGGGAACTAATCCTGTACCGCAAGAGTGGCTTTTTACGCCGGATATCTGAATTGAATACAAGTTACTTTGCCCTGAGATACCCACTCTTCTACATGTACGGATCTCAAGGCTGGGATGAGCATTATCGCAACCTTCAATCACGCAGTGAGTCACGTTTTTCATTCGCGTAAAAGAATGTAGTTGACATTCCGTTATTGGCAGGACCAGGCGGGAAGGTTTCGCGATCAGAATGGCATGCTTATACTTTGTTCGACCGGCAAGACGTCTTCTCGCCTATACTACGAGGTGGAAGATTGCTTCAAGAAATCACTGTCGACATGTATGTCTGCATTGAAAATGCGAGGCTCAAATTTGTACGATTGAACCAAACAAGACTTCGAGCCGAGCTGTACAACGGGGAAACTGAGGCTTTGAGCAACAATGATTTCCGGATTGGGCGCAACATCATCCTGCCCTCATCTTTCGTCGGAGGACCCAGGGCGATGCATGAGTTGTATAATGACGCTATGGCCTTGGTCAAACGTTTTGGACATCCATCATTGTTCATAACCATGACTGCAAACTCTAATTGGCCCGAAATCACGAACGCGTTGTTACCTGGGCAAACGGCTGAAGACCGGCCTGATTTATTGGTGCGGGTCTTTTTCTTGAAGTTAAGACAGATGCACAAGGATGTAAGGAAACTTGGCCGTTTGGGAAATTGCATATCCGACGTCCATACAATCGAGTTCCAGAAGCGCGGAGCGCCTCACGCTCATACCATCTTAATCAACGATTCGCGCACCACACCAAAGTCTCCGGCACAAGTCGACTTATTGGTTTTGGCTGAGATTCCAGATCAAAACGAGGATCCATTGTTGTATGATTTGGTGGTTCAGTTTATGGTACACGGTCCGTGTCATGAGGGAAAAGCCTGTTGGAACAATGGGAAATGTAAGTATGGATATCCACAACCTTTTCAAGAAGAAACTGCAATGACGGAGCGCTCCTACCCTCAATAAAAACGCCCAGACAAAGGCAGAACGTTCCTCAAGTCCGGTCATACTTATACAAATCGGGACATTGTCCCTTATAATAGGTTTTTGCTTTTGAAATATCGTTGTCATATGAATATTGAAGTGGCGGTAAGCATGAAATCTGTAAAGTATTTGTACAAATATATCGCAAAGGGGCACGACCGGCAAGCTGTTGCTCTTGAAACTGAGGATGAACCGCAAGATTACGTGGATGGTCGTTATTTGGCGGCACCAGAAGGTGAGTAATGATTTCACGTCGCAGTTTCAACGAAGTATTGACAATGTCGTCTAGCCATATGTCTTCTGTTTCAGTTTTCCCTTTCGGGCCGGCATCCGGCGGTGAATCGTCTTTCATTACACGACGAGTCCTCAAACTTGGTTTACTTCAGGGACAATGATTCGTTACGTCGTGCAATTGAATCCGGGCGAGCGGAGAAAACAACTTTGTCAGAATTTTTCCGAATGTGTGCAGCAAACCTCGAAGTAACCGGAGCTAAATTTCCCATTCGCGAACTACTTTACACCGAAATGACAAACTATTATTGGTGGGAGAAAAGCCTAAAACAATGGACACGTCGAGTGAAGGATATTGCCTCAATAAGCAGACTCTACTTTGCCAAGCCTGGGCATGGAGACCGATATTACTTACGTTTACTGCTCACTGCTGTCAGAGGTCCTATGTCTTTCAGAGACTTACGAACGGTCGACGGTGTGCTACATCCAACATATCGGTCGGCAGCCGACGCACTTGGTTTACTCATGAGCAACACACATTACGACGCGTGCTTGACCAAGGCCGCGGTTTGGCAGACTGGACATCAGCTTCGCGAAATGTTCGCTCTTATCTTGACGCATAGTCCACCTTCTAATCCGCAGAATCTTTGGGATGATCACATGGAAGACCTTACGGATGACTGTCATTACCAAATAGCTTTATCTCACCCGGACCTGTTACCCGATGACAGCCAGATAGAAAACTATGGACTTTTCTTGCTGGGTACTGCGTTAGGATACATGGGTAAGACGTTGACTGACGTCGGGCTGAAAGAGGTGGACCAAAACGAACTGTTGGATTTCCATGGATTACTCAATTCGACTGACGATACAATTGTTTCCCCACAAACCAGTGCTGAGTACGTTGTCAACGCAGGCGTGACTATGACTGACGAGCAAGGTGCTGTATACGACGCAGTCCAGGACGCAATTCATAATAACCCTGGCCGCATCATGTTTGTCGATGGCCCCGGTGGCTGCGGGAAAACCTTTTTGCTCAATGCCTGTCTGCACTATTGTAACACGGAATCAATCCCATTTGTGGCTGTGGCGTCGTCGGGCGTGGCGGCACTCCTTTTATTACGTGGTGCAACTGCTCATTCCACGCTTGAAATCCCGATCAACGTCGATCCTGACTCAACTTGCAACTTCAGCCGTGCTGACACCAAGGGGAGAGCGCTCAAGGCTGCACGTTTTATGGTGTGGGATGAGATTGTCATGCAGCACAGGCATGCAATCGAATGCGTGGACAGGTCGCTTCAAGATTTGTGAGACTGCGATCAGCCATTTGGTGACCTGACAATACTTTTCTCGGGAGACTTCCGACAAACTTTGCCGGTGGTGTTTCACAGCTCATTGATGGACTCGGTTCGGGCGTGTTTCAAGTCATCTGACCTTTGGCATGTAGTGGAGGAATATAAACTCACGAAAAACCTGAGACTGGCACAAGGTGCAAAGGGTGTTGGAGAATATTCTGAATGGCTGTTGGACTTAGGGTCAGGTCGACTTCAGGATGCTAATGTGGATCGCGTCAAGCTTGATCATGTTGCCGTCGTCAGCATCGCGCCGGGGCAACCGTTGAGCCAAAGCTGGATCTATCCTTTTTATTCAGCTGTCAACAATCTTATTTGTCGTTCGGCTTGGAGGAGACTTGCGATGTATTATGAAAGCCGCGCCGTGATTACCACCTTAAACCGGACTGTCGCTGAGTTGAATCAAATGGTGCTGAGGAGCTTAGACGGCGAAAGTCGGCGGTACTCCTCTCTGGACACTCTGGATGAAGAGTATGCTTCTCATGTGAGCATTGAAGTTCTGAATAGTTTTGAAATAGCAGGCTTCCCTTCTCACCAACTCGACTTGAAAACGGGCTCAGTAGTAATAGTCCTCCGGAATCTCAACCTGTACACTGGCCTTTGCAATGGGACCAGGCTGCTGATCACACATAAGTCTGACAACGCTCTGGATTGTGTAGTCGTATCTGGGCCAAGAAAGGGTAGAGGACTGTCTTTGCCACGAATGAAAATGCATCACCCGGGGAATGAAACGGTGCCAATTTCTTTTTTTCGTTTTCAATTCCCGGTTGCTCTGGCTTTCGCGATGACCATTAATAAGTCGCAAGGGCAAACTTTGGAACAGGTATGTGTTGTTCTGCCAACACCGGTGTTCGCGCATGGACAATTGTACGTCGCGATGTCTCGATGCACTTCAAGCGCGGCAACATCCGTCATATTGACAGAAGTCAAGAGGGATCATATGACTACCAATGTAGTATTTAAGGCTTTGTTAGAATGATGTGAAATTCAAGCGGTTGGATGACAGGACAGAGGATGGACATAGATGTGAATAAATGTAAATATCTTGATCGATCTAATTGTAATAATGGAGCGTGTTGTGACCAGGTGAGAGCAATGTTAACAATTGTGAACTGTCCGGAGCGAATCTTCTCGAGAGTGGACTTACGAAGCATTATCGCAAGAATTGAGTCACACGTTGACGGTCGGGAAATTGTGAGTGAGCACTGTGACGAATGGCGGCCCGCGACGTTGGAACTCGACGACTGCAACGTAAGTGAATATATGCCCTGGGAGGGACGCGGCGCGAGCCGTCTCGATGAATGCCGCCATCTGATTTTGTAAAAACCGCGCCCAGACCTCCGGATTTACCCTGGATGGTATCGTATCAGGCAAAGTGCATGTATACAATGTCTGTCCCGATGGAGTAAGTATGATAACATCAAGAAGGCGCGGAAAGGCTTACATTGTGCGGCGTGAGGCGGTACGTGAAGTGTTCTGCGGTGGTAAGGAGTAAACAGAGAGGCAACGACATATTTGGCGCAACGTCTCGAGGTCTGGGGTTTCAACTGGGAATGGGTCTTTTCTACAGACAATTTATAGGGAAGACGGAGCACGATCTGACCGTACGTGTCTCACTTCGATGCCGATCTCATCATAGTAGGCTCACATTCTGAAAGAGGTCATTTGGTATCGTTGCGTTGGCTGACGTCCACAAGATGCGGTGTCGAGGAAATTGACTGGGGAAATGGCAATCCCGGTGTTGGTCCATAATCAAACCGTAGCGTGATGAGCGATAGTGCTTAACTAATACGGAAACACCGTCTGTTTGAACGCCTATACCGTTCGGCGAAAGGCCCAACCATCGCCTGGACTGAGGAAGTCCGGTATGTTGGAATACAGACCATGGCAAATCCGAAAAAACCGCGACGTCTTGGACCGGCCCAGGAACAGCCATTGTGTATGACACGGGAAGCCCGGCACCAGACATGGTCGGCCAAAGCATGATTGACGACCGCCTCGGATGGATTCTTTCTTTGCCAAGGTGACCAGTGGCCCCTGACAAGGCGCGGAAGAGCTGGCAATTCGAGCGCGGTAGTCGGCTTGGTGCTTTGCGCACAGCATGGGATCGCGAGGAAGAGTTGACTCAGACCGAGTGAGTCTTGATCTCATCTTTGGTTAACTCGGCGTTCAGGCTCTCCTCAAGCGAAGCCTTGCGGTGGATGTCGGATGCCAATTGCAGCTGACTTTAAAACGGTCTGGCTATTTGCATTTGGTGTTACATCGCGCCCTTTCTTTGTCACAACAAGTCAAGCATTTTCACGAGCACAAGATCGTAGGTCGGTTTCTCACAACATGCAAAATTATTCGTCCTCCACCTTTCCTTTGCGATTCAGCAGTGTTTTCTGGACGAAATGCGATGTAAGTGTTGAAACAATACTCGGGGCAATCGACTAGCAAACTGACACGTCGCTTGCTAGACACCTCTTGCTGATTACAATTCAACACGAAGGTTGAAAATGTACGAATCCAATGTCTTCATAAATTCGGGGGTGCTCCAAGGAATCAAGATTCTTATCGCCACGAAGCGAGATGAAAGCGCAATCAAAATGAATCACGCTTACCGTATTGAAGGGGAGGTGGCCGCGGGCGGCAGAAACTGTGTATCTACGATATTTGAAGAAGCCGAGGCAACCATTTGCATCGACGAGGCCGAAGTTCGTCTAAACGCGCTATCCAATTGAGTCACGACGCAGGGCGTTGGCAGGATTGCCGAATGGTTGACTTGCCGTTTGACAACGCACCAAACTTTGGAATACATAAAAGTGTTACATAGGAGTACTCATTATATGGTGAGCGAGCCTTTGTACCAGTTGTTGGAACAAACGCTCATTGTCATGCTTTTTTCGAAGCGGCACGACTTTTATGCCATTTATCTCCTTAAGCCGCACATCACATGCCAGCTCAGCATTGATGCTCTCAGGGTAGGAAACGTGATCAGTCTTTGAGGTTTTGTCGTCGCAAGTCAACTTGAATCCAACACATGGGAGATCGAGGTAAGTGGGCACTTGCTTGAATGAGGCTAGGTCTTGGGTTAACCGGTTTCTCCAAATAGGTCTCAGAAATTCAAATGGTCCAGGTCCAACCGCAAAGTTGGCGAAGCAGGCGCCAAAGGGGTTTGCCGCCGCTCACTCCTTGAGGGTTCACCTGAAATCAGGAATGGACTGTAATTGCATATGTGACAAAGAGCGCCTAGGAATTCTCCTGGACGGTGACTCATCGACGGAGGGGTCCGCACTTGGCCGGACCGCGCGATGAGCACTTATGTACATAGCTGCGAGATTGTCGTCGTAGTGACATCCCTTTAGTGTAAAATACATCTTATTCGTGAGCCAGTCAAAACTGACAACAGCCGGTTTAGGGCGGAGCCCCGGTGTTTATTGGAACCGATGTGCCCTTAAGCACATGGTTTGCACCAGGCTTTGACTTCACTTTCCATGGCATGCGCAGAGGAGGAGAGGGGCCAAGTAAGATGGCTGGAGTCCTTTCGAGACCGGCACAGCGGAACGGAGAGTCAATGATGGCGGTGAAATGCAATGCTTGGAACGCATGAAACTCAGGCAAAGTTGGGCACCGGCTGGAGTTTGACTGCCGGTTTTGACGGTCTCATGGGACCAGACAAAATGGTACACAATACATGAAGTCAAATCCTGTGGGGCGGCGCGCCGCCCAATCCCTCGTCATTAGTAAAATGTTGAAGACTTGTTTCTTAGGAAATAACAAATGGATTGAAAGAGGGTGGGACTGAGAAGAGGAATGGAATCTAAACCTGAGCAAGACACTACACCAAATGTAATCTTTACCGGGCGGTAAAGAAAACTACTGACATAGAAAAGTCCTGAGGCAACAGGAAGAGAGCTAAAATTCTGAAAAAATATGCACCTTGTTCCTAGATGTTGGGGCGTCATGATGAGTATTTTTTTGTATTTTACACGCAGATATTGGTTTATGTACTAACAATAAACGCTGAAAATCATCAAAAACTCACATGTAACAATACCTAAAGTCATGAGTATGAAGACAATATTCTGTGGTCTAAAAACTTCAATAACTTTTGCAATTCTGCTCCAAATAACTCGATTTTTTGGTTCATTCAAAAGCTGAACTATTCTCCTTCACACTTCATAATATTAGTAAGGTGCTATCTAGTCATTTAAACACTCTACATATGTTCAAACAGTTCTGCATGAATAGCTCTGTAGGATCCTTTTTAGACCAGCTACAGATGTGATGTCTCAATGAAAAATGTAGAGGGAAGGCTCACCTTTTTAATGCACTTCAAATCGAGTGATTTGATTCAGAACTTCAAAAGTTATTGATTTTTGAAGATTCCAAAATCCTGTCTTCAAAGTCAAGGGCCAAATTTCAGGTATTGTTACAGGTGGGTTTTTGATGATTCTCAGCCTTTATTGTTAGTACATTAACCAATATCTGTGTGTAAAATATAAAAAAATACTCGTCATGACGCCCCAACATCTAGGAACAAGGTGCATATTTTTTCAGATTTTTAGCTCTCTTCCTGTTGCCTCAGGACTTTTCTATGTCAGTAGTTTTCTTCACCGCCCGGTAAAGATGACATTTGGTGTAGTGAGAGAACAGTTCATTAATTGAACAGAAGAGAAAGGTACTTTTGATGGCAAATCAATAAGTTCCAAGTTGAATATTGTGAGTACTGCGAAGATAGAAGGAGTTGAAATACTTACCCAAAGAAACAAAAGTGAAAGATGGAATGTTGGAGTTGGTAGGTGGGAAGGGTTGATGATTTAAAAGGTACTTTAGACCAGAGCTTGGTTTAAGAACTTTCTTTCGGATTTCACATTTCAAATATGAACTACAGTTTGGCTGAATGCTGTTTAGCACAATGTGATTTAACACTCCGGTGGTGAATTGGGCAAAGCTATTAGATGTGATATGGTGTCATGTTGTTTGTCGGTATGACACTTGTCAGCCGTCAGACCATCCGCCATGACTCACGTTACAACACAGGATTTGTAAATTAAAAATCCATGTCAATGTGTGTCGGTATGAGTCATGTCTTACGGTTTTTGGCTCGGGGATGAATTTTGGCAAAACATGACATGGAAAAATTACATGTTTACAGCCGTTGTAATATCTAACGGCAGTTTTTCGAAGAATGGTGTCGTCGTTGGATTTAATGAGAAGTCAAAAACTCACAAAATCCACTTCGAGATTGTTGAACTTTGTTGCAATCTCGTGACAAATGACAAGTAAGTTTACGCAGCTCCTCTCTCTGTATAACCCTTTACACCCTGCTGTGACATACCGAAAGCCGGTTGACGAATATTGACATCCACCCCTCTTTACCGGTTATCCACTTTCCCCCACTTTCCATTTCCGGTTTCCCTTCTCTCGATTCATTAACCCCCTCATCTGAACTCTTCCACTCGTCCCATCTATTCTTCGATTCAACTTTTGATTAGTGATACCAATCACTCACCATCAACAGGTCTGACGGTTCAAGTGTCATCCACCAGGTCCATCAACTGTGAGTTTTTTCGGTGATTCTTTTGGGTCATTTGTTTCTCCTCGCTCCCATGACTGACTGAGACATCCATGTGTACAGATGCCCATAAACTCTTATGCCCCTGACATCAAGATGGTGGTCATTTGGATGGTGATGCGTGGAATGCGCTTCCACGACATAGTCACAACTCTCGGGGTCGACGTATCTCTCACTTCCGTCCGGCGGTGGTTCGATTTATACCAGACCACACGCGCGGTCATCACAAACCCTGACAATCACATGATACCCGGCCCACGCCCCATTTTAGGACAGGTTCAACGTGATTTTATTCTGGAAGCTCTTCATCACGACCCTACGTTGTTTCTAGACGAGCTTCAACAAAAAATCACGGAGAGGTTTGGAATGGTTGTCTCCCTGAAGACCCTCTCAAATGAAGTCCGATTGCGAATTGGATGGACGAGGAAGAAAGCTCAAACCGTCCATCCGAATCAATCGGAAGAGGCACAAGGGGCGTATATAGGGGAGGTCTTTGGAATTGACCCGTATTGCCTTGTGTTCACCGGTGAGCCATATATCTCTCATTTTCCGTGACAGACACAAACTGACTGCTTGTCCACAGATGAAACAGCGGTGAACAAGAGGCATCTCTATCGGGAATTTGCTCGCGCGCCTCGTGGGGAACAAACCGTGCGACTCGAGAGACCAACTCGGTCACAGAGATGGTCGGTCTTACCTGCGATCTCTTTAGGTGGACTGGTAGCCTTAGCTATCCAGCCCGGTGGTTACTCAAGGATCAACTTCGAGGGTTACTTGGAAAATCATTTAGGAAGCTCATTTTCTTCAATCCTTCTTCATCATTAGTTGACCAATGAAACCTTCCTTTGGTAGTTGCCTGCCATGAACCCGTGGCCTGCTGGCAATTCAGTCCTCGTGATGGATAATGCTCCTATCCATCACGGAGGGAACATTGAAGCGCTTTGTGAAGCGCGTGGTATCCGTCTACTTTACCTTCCGGCGTATTCACCCGATTTCAACCCCATCGAGTTGGGCTTTTCACCACTTAAGTCTCGCTTGAAAAGAAGCTGAGCTCTTCATCGTGCCATTAATGTCCTTGGGGAGGAAGCTTCTATATTTGTCACTTGTATGAATCTATTTACTGACTCTCTTTGCCTAAAGTTGTTCATGAGCTGTCGATACCTATGATTCAATTACGCAAGATTGATTATTGGTTTATTTGTATCCAAATAAACCCAAGCAAAAAAATGTATGTTATGCGCGGCGAGCTCCTATGTTCCATATTTTTCAAAAACTATCGTGTATTCAGACTTTAGTCCTGGTTTCAAACCAAGGTCCTCAACCTAGCAATTCAATGTCGAGTGACCTTTTGATGATTCCACTTGAACTTGATCGGATAATGTCCACTATATTGGTTCCCATCTGAGATCACTGTGATCTATTAGCGAGGTCCTATGATTTTATAGGACCTCGCTAATAGATCACAGTGTGTTAAAACATTTGGTCTATAGACTAGTCTAAAGACCCGCGACTATCAGCACCTCTTTCGTCATTTATGGCCAAGTCCATAAATACTTGCTCAAATTGCGCAAAAGAGACTCTGAGGCAAGGGAAGATTCGGTGCGACTTTGTTCAAATAATTGTGGGTTGATTATTTGATCAAAGTCGCACCTCACACGGTGTTTCATATAATATTTCAACTTGAAATATTTATTAAGTCAAAGGGCGCATAAAAAGAAGGCTCTGTGGGTAATATACGAGCGGACCTCAAGTTCACAAAGTGAGACCAAAACCAAACTGTGTATATATTTTAAAACGGGTGGACTTAGCCACGGTTAGACACTGTGAACAACATAGTGGGAAAACCACGACTGGGATAAAAATATTCTGATAGGTGAAATAAACAAGAATTGAAAATTTTGTGACAAGTCAAACCCGTCGATAATCACTGGCCTAACTATTATTCTGATAGGTGAGATAAACAAGAAGGTGCTTTTTTGAGACAAGTCAAACCAATGGATAATACACATTTGCTATCCAAACATTCACGGAAACAGCATTCAACACTGTATCCTCCTTGGTTTGATTATTCATGTCCTACAGAATAAGAAGACGTTTTGACAGATCAGTCACTTATTCTTAAGTCAAAAGGGATTGCAGCCCTTACCATTTTCAAAACGAGCTTGAGCTGCCGTCATCAGGCGGTGGGCAATCTGACGGTCGATTCCCTTGGAGGTTAGGGTGGCCTCGGTTAGTTGGAGACTAGGAATCAAGTCGGTCCACGACAAGATTCCTGCCTCTCTAAGGAGCTTTCGAGTTTGCTCATCTTGGAAGTCGATGTTACAGTCCGCGAGGAACAACTCCATTTGGACGGAGTGAGCCGTGCTGGGATTTTCGACATCAATCTCGTCCGCGCCACTCGAAAAGTCACTTTCCCAGCGACTTTCAGAGTCGCTGGAAACATAAATCGGATTATTAAACGAGTTGGTGATCTCTGGAATAGAGGCCAAAAAATCAAGTCAGTAAATCTACAAATATCAAAGTCGTTATGTTTCTCACCTTGGTCTTCCACCTTGATCTTCTTCAAATCAGGCTTAACATCAAAGACTTCGTTTGATGAAGACACATCACGTCTTTCACCTAATTTAGATAAGTCTGGCTTCACATCACCCCCCACGCTTGAATTGGACAATTTGTGTTTTTGGCTCAACGTGCGTTTGATCGAACTCGAACCACTAGAATGGGGTGGGTGGACTGAGTTGGAGGGCGTGTTGATGGCCTCCAATCGACGCGGATGGCCCTGTAATCGCAATTGAACACGGTCTTCCACCCCCATGTCGGGGTGGATCCACTCGCTTTTTTTGATTTCGTAGCGGAACTCAGCGGTGTTGGGTGGTATCCAGGTCGTCGCGATTTTCGCCGCCTAAAGAGACGTAGGTGATTGGGTCAGCAAGGCTACAGCTCTCACGGCGTTGGAGAGAAGGGCTTACCACTCCTTTAGCCCAGATCCACGCAGCCGGGTAGGTCAATCGATATCGACAATTCGGATCCCAAGGAGTCGTCAACACAGTTCCAGGCCCTCCCGCGTAAGTTCCAATCGCATGTTGGCTAAAAATTTGGTTGGCGAGAGTTTTTAACTCTCTCTTGTTTTTGGATTCCTGCAAGGCTCAAAAGAAGTCAATTCTCAAGCATGAACGTGAACAATCAGACGCACCTCAGATTCATGTTCCTCCGCGCCATCTCAACTAGCGGCGGCAATAAGTTTCTTAGTCGCTGATTCCTGTGAGATCATACATGTTTGTTAGCACAGTCTAAAATAAGAACAAGCCAGGGTGGGAAAGAGGATAGAGACCAAACACAACTCACCTTATTGACCACTTTAGCTTTCACTTGCACGTTATCGTTTTCAATCAAAAGTATTCCTTTTTTCTTGACCGATTTGTCTAAAGCATCGACAAAGTTTTGCCATTGAATGGCACTATCAAGGACAACTTTGAAGCGTCCCACAGTGGTCTTCCACTTCAGGTCTGGCGCAAAATCACTAATGAGGATGATGTTCTTCATGCCACCCTCATACTCTTCACACGCTCCAGCCACGAGCGCCTTGAAATCTTTCAAACTCTTGCCAAACAGACAACTCTTGATTTCTAAATAGCCGGTATTGATCGCTTTTGAATCAATCAAATTGAGTTTGTCAGCCTTCGCAGTTTTCTTACCCGCGCCAACTTTAGGTGTGCTCGTAGTCGGAGCGTTGATTTCGACCTCCTTGTCCGTGTAGATCTTGAAACGGACCTCGACGGTCATCTGATTGTTCTTATCAAAAGCATCTCGAGCTGGAGTTCCGACCCTCAATAAAGGGTCTTGCCTGGCACAAGTGGCTGGCTGATTGTCTCCCACCCGAGGCTCAGGCAACTCGAAGTCTGACGAAGAAAATAAAATCAGTGGATTTAAAACTCGGTACATGGGGGAACCTATTGGCACTCACGTGGGTTGATGTGACCAATCACATCAGTTGCAGCCGGCGCGTTTGACAAAGGAACAGACATATTGAAATCTATCAAAAAGATCCATTAACATCGCCTTAATAAAAAGAGAAAAATATTAACGAAGAGGAGAAGATGGACAAACAAGTCGATTTAGGGTCTTGCATTTGGTAAAATGAAACACAAAGTGAGGATAGTGATGCGAGTGATGGTATGTTATTTGTGAAGATCGAATTGGTCAATAATATGGGAAATGTGAGGATGGAATCGATTGCGATCAGGGGAAAAGGCGATGGTGGCTTTATAAAGTAGGGTGGTGATTGATTTGAATCTCGTCCGGGAGGGAAAGACATCCCTGGAGATGATGCCATCGCGATCAGAGATTGGATCCCGGTAAATGACTTGACGAAAGAATTGCCGGAATGGGGGAAAGTTATGGGGAGAGGAAATGGGAAAGCGAATGTCTGATCTTAAAGAAGTACGATACGATTCACTCTGAAAGTCGAAAAATTTCGAGTTTTTGACTTTCAGAGTAAAATCCAACGACGACACAACTCTTCAAAAAAGTGCTGTTAGATATTACAACGGCTGTATATGTCGGTATGAGTCTATACGTAGAAAACCAAAAACTGAAGTTTTGAAAAAACAGTGGCAGTCACTTCACGTCATGGCTTCCGTAGTATACTGAGTATTTTTGCCTAAAACTAACGTGAATAGCTCTAACTTAGAGCTATTCACGTTAGTTTTTTATCTTTTTTGATCGTTGTTTTTTTCCCGCCCACCACCCTCTAGTCAGACTGGGGTTAAGTTTCAGGCTATTTTGTTATCAATTTCTCTTATACACGAGTAGGGGGGTCCCTCAGTGAGGGACTCAGCGCCGAGCTATTCGCCACCCACAAGTACTCTCTGCGCTCCTTTGTCTTTTTGCAAACCAGGCCCCAGGGCCACATCTCTGAGTAACACACAACAACCCGCGCCACCGAGCCAAACTGATTCCTTGGTGTCATGTGCACATTGGCTCAATTACTTGTTTACATTGAAGACAAAAAGAAACCTTTTTCCACCTGCTTGTATCTCACTTACACAAAACTTCTGTCCTGAAGACACGTAAAATAGAAACATTCCTGGAAGTAGAGCATTATCAACGTTTACGGGACCGGCCAGTCACTTCGGCAGTTTATGCTTTCTGTTCCCCTTCAGGTGGAACTGTTTTCTCTTCCCCTGCGGTCTGCTTTTCGACTACCTTTTCACCTCCCCCTGCTGCTGCATAGGTTGAATCAATGTCCCCAAACTTGATGTTGGAAAACTCCACAGTCGCATCGGCACTTTTGGCCTCCACGGTTTTGGGATCACCACTTTCATCCGAACATGTTCCTCTGGCAACACCAGGTGTTTCAAGTCCCTTTCCGGGAGGATAATTACCACTGAGCCACTTCATCGCAGCTGGAGAGGTATCATCTAATAACACAGTGTCAGCATTATTGAGATTCAACAATCAACAGTCAGATTCATTGCTATGTCAATCTATATATGAAGAAAAGAGAGAAAGTCTTACCCTACAGAACGGATTAAAGGGATCGGATTCAAAGCAAAATTCAGTTACGTGAGATTCCTATAACCACGAAACCTGGAGGAAAAGTAGGAAAATGGAACAAGGAACGCACCCATAAGCTCAGAACCAAGACATGCCCTCTATCCATTGATTCTCCCATTGCCTTGAGTCCACCTTTGGCATTAAAATCATCTTTGTCGCCAAAGATCCCCTTAACTGCTTTACAAAACCCTTCTGTTATGGAGTCCACAGCTGGTTCGAGTTTAGGGATGCTGGTTTTAGAGTTTGAAATGACTTTTCCATTTTGGACATAGAGTCTACGTATCTCCTTCAAATCCCCCTTAGCAGTTTTATCAGTGGTGATGAATTGAGTTACAACTGTCATCTTTTTGCTTGAATCGACTGTTTTACCAGGACCATAAAAGTCTTTAGCTCCCAATCGATAACTTGCAAAGTCACATCCATCCTTGTCACAGATACCTCCATAACGATTATCAGGATCATCTCCGCATTTTGCTCCCTCACATACAGTCAGACCTGGAGCTGAGCACGGATGAGGTGTAAATGCTTGGGAGATCGAGTTCGCCTCCCAGATGTCCATTTCATTACAGCAAGCTCCAAGTTTGCCTTTTCCGGAATTTTTATCAGTTTTTGAAGGCGTCCAGCCATCAACATTGGCCTAAAATAGGAGAAAGATATTGCGGTCAAAACACAAGATCTACACACGGAGGTCAGGTGTGGAATCAAGCAAGTGAGTCAAAGCACTGACTTTGCCACCAATAAATTTGATATCGTGTGGACATTGCGCATCACAATAACCAGTCCCAAACTTGGCGCCCGCTTTGTTCCCAGGGTTCTTTGCCATTCCACCATCCTCCGCCATCTCACTGAAGTACAACGCTCCATTAAGTCCACAGCCTTTGGAACAGGAGGTGAAAATCCAATTTGTCAATGCCGAATCAAGGAGCATGATGATGAAACTGAATTAGTATTCATGGGGCGAACTCAGCGAATTTCAGGAATTTAACACGTACCGATTTTCGAAACATCGACATCGAAACTAAACTCTTGATTCTTCAGCTTGAACATTTGATACTTCGACTCATCAGCCATAAGGTAGACTCGTGATCCAACATTAGTTGCGTATTTTCCTTTTGTGACGAATTTCAAACTGACACTGGAGCCTTTGGTGTTGATCCCATAGTTTGGGACATACTCGGCTCCTTCCAAAGCACAACTTTCAGCGCATTTCGCCCCGTCAGCACACACTTCGGTGTCCCAAGTCTGCCCAGTGTAACAATTCTTCATTCCGTCTCCTGGAATCTTGCGAAGCCATCTCCAGTTAGCATCAAGTGTGATGCTAAGAGAAAGGTCTTTACAACTTCCGCCCTTGCTACATTGTTGCACGGTGACCTTTGGATGGACTTCCGGTGTCTTACTTCCGGCCTGCTGCGCACGAGTGGAGGGTATCGCGAGCAGCGATAAAGCGCACACAATCAAGGTGAGCATGATGTCGGAGGAGAAAGATCTGATCCGGTGGGATAAAGAGATTTATATATATATAATGAAAAGAAATGGTCGCTGAGTGGATGTTGCGAATTTAAACTGCCCCTGATGTCTTTAATTTTTTCGGACTTGCACTGAAAGTATTATGGAAGGAGTTCAAAGAAGAGCGCTTCACTGAGACGCGATTGATGTCTTCCTCTAGGAGAGCTGGGTAAACAGGAATTTGATTGATGTAAGAGAATTATGGAATCTCAGCACAGCTGCACTAACATAGCCATCTTATAGTGGGACTGATGATACGAGCCCAGCCAGTTTTCCTATGAAAAGTCGAAGGAGATTCAGCATGACGACCGCAGTGCTCATCGAATGGCTTTCTTTCGGTCATCGAGGTCACTAATTGGCGTTACCTTGAGAGGCTGTCTCGACTTTCAATGTGTATACGAAAATTGGACGCAACCCCGACGCTTCTAACCACAACCAGTGCTGGACACCCGGAAGCTCTATGCAACTAAAAGTTTAAACCATGTAAGCACATGGATCGACTTTCGTCCAAAGTTTATAATAGCAACAATTGTATTCTATATCCACCTTAAGGTGCCGATGTCAGATAGCAGCGACATCCATAACGCTACCGAGGCACGCCAGTATGCAGTTCTAGCTCGACTCTCAGTTACGCACCAGAAAAGCATTCCCGAAAAGAGGTGTAGCTTAGTGACATCCAGAGTACTGGAAGGGCTGTGAAATTTTGTAGCTGCTAATGGGTAGCAGCTACTATCTGCTACGTAACCATTTCTGGACACGCAGACATCGGATTTGTCCAACCGTGAGACTTAATGCGCAGACCCAGCAATACAAACACAGCCGTATCAGTGGTCACCCAACTCGCTGGAAATGGGCTTTTGTGGACACACTTGGGATCAAGGTGTGCTACTGGAGAGAGCTAATGGCACCCGGTTGTGTTGATGTTTGTAGAAGAAACAAACTCGCCACAAGTCTTGATGTACATACATAGTCAACCAGAACTTTGGCCAAATTGGCTTATTCTTCATGTGCTCAGTTCCCTGACAAGATATGCAAGGGATAAGGCAGAAGTTCGAATTCCTTGCTAGTCTTGTATGTCTCTATTCCGGCCGCATATATCCAAGCTTAAGGGTATACACAAAGGCTGATTGATTGTACACCTCAAATGGGCTCGCACAGATCATGATCCATTGCGGAATCGACCAGCAATATTATGAAGATGTAGCGTTCATGATAAGGTGCTCTCGAGATCAGCAGGGTTTGAAGAAGATCGATTGTGAAAATCATCTCGAGAATCGAACAGATAGGACGCACGAGCCTGTCGGCGGACACCTGGCTTTTATAAGGGGGTATCCGCATTGTCAATGACCTATCGGAATGGCATGGTCTGTTTTGGCTGGGATCATGTGAAGTCAGCAGTACGAATTCCGAATGGAGAAATCTGCGTGTCGTAAGTAGCCGAATTGTAGTGGGTAGCAGTAGCCGCTACAAAATTTCACAGCCCTTCGGTTACTCCCGTGACATCCTCCATCCTTAGATCGGGGGACGTGCGATATAATTACACAAATATCATCACCCCGGTCATTCAGCAACTTGAGGTGATTCGTCTTGTGCAAAGACCTGTTGCTATGATTGTTCATGCTTTTTGGTGAGATTACAACCTGTTAGGACATCATGTTTAGTGTATTACAGCTGTTTCAAGAAAGGTTGACAACTTTTTGCTGGAGAAAGTTGTCTCCGCAGCGGCTGGAACCAAAGACAAAACTTGATTACAGGTTTATTATTTCCTGTATTCTTCCAATTAGCAGAGAGACAAAATCAAGTGAGGGACAAAACCCGGGTTTTGCACATTGGCGAGATTTTCAAAAGAAAATAAATCTTTGTTGGAACAGCTGTACACGTTCAAATGGATACTAGAATACCTTTATAATGAGTTAGTAATCTATCATTTATCTGCTCAAGAGGACTATTTATCAGTGTTTGAGTTTGCAAAACTCTCATTTCATAAACTCTTTAATTAAGAGTTACAGAGAAATGGGACCGTTAACTTAGACACTTCTTTGGTATAAAATACCAAAGATAAAAGGCCGTGTTTGGTGCGACACCCAAGGTGCAAGTCAAGGGTGATAAGATTGCTTGTAAGAATAAAAACACACCCTACGGGATGGCTAGCGCACACATTATGAGAACTACCCTCAAATAATAAACAACAATAGAAAAATAAAAAATACTGAATACTAAAAAAGTAAACCTAAACAACCACCTCTAAAACCCAAATGAAACATAACTACTAAGCATACTAATATCAAAAAAATAAAAAAAATAAAAAGGACCCCGGTATAGACACCCCCCTGTTTTGGTCCCGGCACCCCCTTACTCATGCGGTGGACGCGCCCGGGTAGCGCGTGGAGCGGGCGTGCCCGGGAGCGCCCGCAAAGCTCATTTTGGGGGTGGGCACACCCAGGGCACTATCTTGTTATTGGAAGCTGTTGGAAGCTGTAAAAAAGCCAATCCCACATATTCCCACCTTTCATATTCTAAAAAAACCCTCAAACACCGCTCATCTTCCACATCAAAGTTCAAGATCCACAAACTTCATTCCAACATGCCAATTGAAAATCCTGTATTGGCATCATGGATTAAACCACCTAGCAAAAGCAGTACCAGATGGACTGGATGACAAGCTTTAGACAAACATAATAATGGCTGACGTCTTGCTAAGTGCATGAGCTGCAACTTGATGATGGACGGAAAGCCAGCCAAACTTTATCTACATATCACCCAAGACTGCAAGTCTGTCTTGGCCTCCAAAAAATTGGCATATGAGGACCTTGACCTAATCCGAATTGGAAAAGATGTACCCTCAACAGCCAATACAAACAACCAAAGCCGCAAGATGTCTGAAACTTCAGAGACCTTGCTGATCAAGCAACCCAAGAATCAGCCCAACTTCAGTCTGTTCTTCAAGCATTGTAAACCAGATAAAGTCCAAGAAACCTATGAACATTTGCTCAAAGCTTTGATTACTGGCCATGTGCCCTTTTGGTTCCTTCAAAATCTGTCTTTCCAAGCTTTTCAAGAAAGTATTTTGATTGCACCATACACACCTGCCTCCCAATTCATGATGATGGATATGGTTCTTCCTTGACTTCATGCTGCATATTTGGTCAAAACCAAGGCTGAACTCAAGCAAAAAACCAATCTCACCATATCACTTGATGGATGGCCTGACTGCTCACGGAACAGTGTCTATGCTCTCCTCCTTGTCTGCGGTACAAATTTAAAAAAAAAGATCAATGTATTAGATATTGATGATGTTTGAAACACCTCTGAAAACATCTTGGTGGCCTTGAAAGATGTCCTTGATGGACAAGGTGTAACCTGGGAGCAAATTAGTGCCATTGTCACTGATTCTCCCAGCTCAAAGATCAAATTATGTGTGGGTTTCAATTGACCCTTTATTCATTAAGATTTTCAACTGACAATGTTTCCTTTACAGAAAATGGTGAACACCAAGTTCAATCATGTTATTTCATTGGCATTTTGCTTACATGTATATAATCTCATTGCAAAAAAGGTTGTTGCACATGTGGATATGGAAGGAACAGTCAAAATCAATCGAGCACTAGTTGACTTTTTTGGCTCTTCAAGCTTGTGGAGTCACAAGTTGTTGAAATGGCAAAAAAAGGAGGGTGTTACTCAGGGTCTTTGTACATTCTGTGAATCTTGGTGGTATTCAATGGCCAAAGTTGCAATATCTGTTGAAAGCCACAAAAAAGGATTTCAAAGCTGTCTCACAATGTTAAGGGACAAATTGGTACCAACTTCAAATATCAACAAAAACATTATCATTGCCATTGAAAATCACAATCATTTTACCTCAAACTCAATCCTTGTAAAGCTTCTTTGACCCATTGTGAATGCTATTGGCCAATTAGAAAAAGCAAACACATCAGTTGGAGATATTTGGAAGGAGATTGGTACTGTCTATCAGCAACTTCTAGCGATTGATCTTTCCAGCTATCCACAATTCAAACCCTTCAAAGCTCACTGCTTGAAAGTCTTACACAAGCATGCCAAACTATTCAACGAACCAATATATATTGTTGGATTCTTCTTAACCCCCATGTTTTGTCAAGTTCCTGTTTTGAAGGCCTTTACAAGCAATGATATGATCAAGATAATCATACCATTAGCAAAATACTAGAACTACAAGAAGGCTGATGCCTTAAGCCTTCACGAGCAAGTGTTACACTACTTCAGCGGTGTTGGAATCTTTTGTGTTTTGACAAAACGTAAGTGTATCTTTTTATATTTGTAATATTTCTATTAACTGACATGTTTGACACTACAGTTAACCACCCAATCGACTTCTGGCTCACTCTAACTCCACAAACCTTTCAACTCAAAACATTTGCAATCCGAGTGAACAAGCTTGTTGCCCATGCTGTGGGCGTTGAAAGCATCTTCTCAATGATGGGTGCCACAAAAACTAAAAATCACCATTCTATGAAGATATCTACTGTCAGCCTGAGACTTAAAACAGGTGGCTATAAGAGAATCAAAGCTGAGTGATATTGCTTGAAGCTTCTTTATTGGCTTTGTTACAGTAGGTTTACTGAGATAAATTTGAGCCTTTATATAACAGGAGCTGGCTACTCCATGTTGTCTTAGGTGCAGAATGGCTACCGCTGCCTGATACTCACTGAAAGTTCTGTTCCAATGAGGGTCTTCTGAGGTAGGTACAAAAGTACTCCTGTCTCAGGTATACACAGTCTAGTTTCTATGAATTAATAAAGAGACATCTTTATTAATAACAATCTTCGAAACATCTTGGACGATGGAAGTTATGTCTAGTTTCTACATATTGATAAAGAGATGTCTTTATCAATAATGATCTTCAAAAACATCTTGGACATTGAAAGGTCATCCTAATATTAAGAACACTGAGTCTTATTTTGATAACATACTGCTTGAGAAAG